TCAGCCTTCCGAGTAGCTGGAATTACAGGCATGCGCTACCAGGCCCGGCTGATTTTTTTTAATTTATTGTAGAGATGAGGTCTCGCTGCCCAGGCGGGTATCGAACCCGCGGGCTCAGGCACCTTTCTTTTTTGACTGCTGTACCCTTCCTACACAAACTAAAGTGCCAGTAGCATCACAGATAGGACATTTGGTTATAACGGTGATGTTGATTTGTTTTGTTTTTTTTGAGTTGGAGTCTCATTCTGTCGCCCAGGCTGGGGTACAGTGGCACACTCAACGGCCACCGCAGCCTCGACCTGCTGGGCTTAGGCGATCCTTCCGCCTTGACCTTCCAAGTAGCTGGAACTACAGGTGTGTGCCACCTTACCCGGCTAGATGTTGATTCTTAAAAAGCGAAAAGTAACGTGTCTTCTCCCCACTCCCCTTCCTAAGGAATGTTGCCTAAAGCTTCTATCAGCTTTCCAAACATCATGGAAGGAACCAGAAATTTCCACAAAGACTTCCTAATTGGAGAAGGGGAGATTTTTGAGGTATACAGGGTGGAGATTCAAAACCGAACATACGCCGTTAAATTATTCAAACAGGTACAGAAAGAATGACTGTCACAGGGTAACAGTTTCATTACTAACTCATCTGTCATATTAAAATGTGTTGCTTTTCATCAACACTGAAGGGATATCTGGACATAAAGTTCCATAAATGGAAATTAAAAACACAGCCTCAGACATCTGGAGAAGTGAGTGCCTGTCTTGTGGGAATGTAGGGGTGAAATCCTGCTCACGCCCAGATGCCTTGCATGGGAGAGACTTTTCTGGAAAACCCTGTAGGACCTCTTGGACTTTGCAGAAGAGGGTCAGGTTGTACCAGTCAGCTGCGGTTTCCTGGTTTCTCAGAGTGAGCAGTGGCCTTTCCAGGCAGCTTCCAGGCTGAGTCACAGCGGGGTGTCTGGTGCTGCTGGACACACTGTGTCTGTCACAGTTCAGGAGAGTGGGAGAGGGGGCTTCAGACAGGAGCCAGGAGCCGGGACGGAGTGGGAGTGAGGAGATGGTGAGTGATGCAGCCATGAAGCAGCCGGGCCCCAGGACCTGGACTCGGGAGTCCACGAGAAACAGGCCCCTCCACACGCTTCCAAGAGATGATCTTCATCTTCCTCGTGGTACAGTAGACACGAAACTCCCCATGTGGGCCAGGGGACTGTGGGGAAGCGGAAGGCGCGGTTCTGTCCTCAAGGGGCTCATGGTGTTTTGGGGAAGGACCCGGGCAAACCAAGATGACAGTGCCCAGAGTAGTACCGGGAGAGATCTGTACAAAAGGTCCTGGAGAAGCACAAGAGACAGCGGCTCTCTTACTCGGGAGGGGACGTCTGCACATCACCACGGCATAAACGCATCTAGAAAATGAAAGGGAGCATGGGTGAGAGGAAGGGCCCTTGCAGCCGGACGTGGGAGGGCGAGGCGAGTCTTGGCAGGCAGCGGCGGCGGGAGGGGCATTCTGGGTGGGACAGAGGGTGCGTGGCCCTCCCATGGTCCAGTGGAGGACGTTCCATGTGGGTGGGAGGTAGGGAGGAAAGAGGCTGGGAAGGTGGGCTAGTCCAGGGATGGCTTTTAAGGAGGAGAGTGAAAGGCTTGGATTTGCGTGGGGTTTTTTCTGTTCTTTCTGAGACTGAGTCTTACTCTGTTGTCCAGGCTGGAGTGCGGTGGCCCGATCGTGGTTCACCGCAGCTGTGAGCGTCTGAGCTCAAGCGACCCTCCCACCTCAGCCTCTAAAATTGTGTTTGTTTTGTAGAGATCAGATCTTGCTATGTTGTCCAGTCCTCCCACATTGGCCTCCCAAAATGCTAAGATTACAATTGTGAACCATTGCATCCGGCCTCTTTCTTTCTTTCTTTCTTTCTTTCTTTCTTTCTTTCTTTCTTTCTTTCTTTCTTTCTTTCTTTCTTCTCTCTTTCTCTCTTTTTCTTTTCTTTCCTTTTCCTTTCCTTTCTTCCCTCCCTCCCTCCCTCCTTTCTCACCTCAACCTCTTGGGCTCAAGCCATCCTCAGCATCCTGCAGGCATGTACCACCATACTCAACTAATTTTTAAATTTTTTTTGTAGAGATGAAGGCTCCCTATGTTACCCAGGCTAGTCTTGAACTCCTAGGCTCAAACAGTCCTCCTTCCTCGGCCTCAGAAAGTGCTGGGATAGCAGGCATGAGCCACTGTGAGCTCGACCCTAAAAAAATTATCAGCCTGATTTTTTATTTCCCCAAACTGCATTTGGTGCCAGTTAGTGCTATTCAGACATCTCGAGATGGCTGGGAAGGTGAGCCGTCTAATAGAGAAGCAACCCAAGGGTAAAACCATCTGACATGTGGAGTGTGGCTGCTGCCGACCCGGCCTGCCAGGGCCTGTCCCATGGTGCCAGTGTGGCCCTGGATATCTGTCCACTCTGAGAGCCCAGAGCTGCCTCCCAGGCCATCAGTCTGCCAGCCTCCTCTATCTGTGTCCCCCCCACATCTCCCTCGCTTTGGCGAGTTTTCCTTCCATGTGCCCACATGTGCCCTATTCAAGAGCGTGGCTGCTCATGGCTGGGAGCGAGAGAACGTGGTGGGAAGGGTGTCCAGGTCCTGCTGTCCCTGTTTTAACTCCCTGGTGGAGTGGCAGGTGCCACTGTGGTTGGACTTCTGTCCTACTTTTGTCTCCAGCCCTCCTTTACCCAACACACACACACACACACACACACACACACAATCAGGAAAGATGAGTTCATGGAGTGAAGTCCCAGCCACAGATCATTTTTCAGAGACACGCAGTTTGGTGACATCGGGACGCTGCCAGCTCCCTTTGTTGGAGGGACTGAGGCAGGAATTGTGCGGGCCATGTTAGATCTGCACCCCTCAGCCTTGAATGTGTCCCTGATGGCCTGGGAATCAGCTGATGGTGCGGATGCTGAGTTCACGGATCTGGGCTAGAGCCTGAGACTCAGATTCCCACACGTGGTCTTTGACAGCCCACACGTGAAGCCACAAGGTGGCAGAGCGCTGGGTTAGCATAAATGCTGAAACCAGCTGCTCCGCTCTTTAGATCAGGACGACTGTGACCTCAGGGGGGTTCGATGGCTGACAGAACATCACATACTTGTGACGATGGGCTGAGACCCGGTCCGCCCAGCTTCCGGGACAGGGAGTTGAGAAATGCACTTTCTGATAAAGTGGTCCTTGGAAACGTGTCTGTAGCTGGATTCGCTGTCTCTCCCTTCCTGGCTTAACTTGGAAAATGACTTCCACCCTTCCTGCTGAGTTTCTCTCCCTTTTATCCGGCCCATAGAGCTCCAAAAACTGGGCCTCCTCGAGTAATTGGCAAAGGGTAGACCCTGATGGCTTGTGGGGAGGAGGGGGCTAGACACATCCTTAATGTGACTCTCATGGTGGGAGTCAGGAACCTGAGATCCAGAGCCAAGCAGCGACACAGGATGGGTCAGGCAGTGAGGACAGTGTTGGATGAAAAGTGGGTGCTCCGTGCTGTGTTCCTGACTCTGGTATTCACGTGTCAGTCATGGACGGGCTTCTAAAGCTTCTTTTTTTTTTTTTTTTGAGTTGGAGTCTCACTCTGTCACCCAGACTGGAGTGCAGTGGCCGCTCCCAGCCACCGCAGCCTCAACCTGCTGGGCTCTGGCGATCCTTCCACCTCAGCCTTCCGAGTAGCCCGAAAGCGTGCTACCATGCCTGGCTAATTTTTGATTTATTGTAGAGATGAGGTCTCGCTGCCCAGGCGGGTCTCGAACCCGCAGGCTCAGGCAATCCACTCATCTCGGCCTCCCAAAGTGCTGGGATTACAGGCTGAGCCCCCGAGCCCGGCCTAAAGCTTCTTGAAGTGAGGAGGCATGTTGTCATTTGCTGGGTAAGTCCATCTTTTTTTCTTTTTATTTTTTTGAGCTGGAGTCTCACTGCCACCCAGGGTGGAGGGCAGCGGCATGCTCATGGCCACCGCAGCCTCGACCTGCCGGGCTCCAGTGATCCTTCCGCCTCAGCCTTCCAAGTAGCCAGAACTATAGGTACTCGCTACCATACCCAGCTAGTTTTTTGATTTATTGTAGAGATGAGGTCTCCCCAAGTTGCCCAGGTGGGTCTCGAACCCACAGTCTCAGGCAATTCACTCACCTCAGCCTCCCAAAGCACTGGGATTATAGGCTGAGCCACCAAACTCGGCCAAGTCCAACTTTTCAAAATGAATGCAAAGGTAAACTTGAATTGATGTATCCAAGTGACCAGGTCATCAATGCCAAGTTAGTGAAATTTTGCAGAATACACGGAACACAAATCGGATGCTTTGTGGGATCAGCCGGGGAGGTCCTAACCATCATGGGATTTTCTTGGAATACATAGAACATTTGTGAGTTTATGTAAGTGTATACAAAATAGGGCAAAAGAGTTTGGCAGCACAATGTATCACATGAACAGGTTTTAATTCAAGAGCAGTGGTTCTCTGTTTTGGGGCTGACGCATTTTTAGAAACCTGATGAAAACTAGAAAAGTGTTCATACGCACTCAAGCCAAAAAAATTCATCTGCGAGATCTGACAATTAAGTTTGCAAACCACCTTAGAAAGAGTGCTCCATATTGCTGAATATCACTATAGTCACCTTCGAAGCACTCCTCTTGGGAAACTGTACCGATGCCAGCACCTAGTCCACACGCCAAAGCAGTTTTGGAACTCTTTTTCTGGAATGGCCATCACAGCTGTCATCGCATTATGCTTGATGTCCCGAATGTCATCAAAATGTCTTCCTTTCCATATTTCCTTTATCTTCTGGTAAAGAAAAAGGTCACTGGGGGTCAGATGAGGTGAGGAGGGAGGGTGTTCCAGTGCAGGTATTTGTACAGTGCTGCCCACGTAAGCGCACGGTGGCAAGTTTGTGAACTTGATTATCAGACTTCAACAAGTGACGTCGATGTCTCTGATAGTCATTCCAGAAAAAGAGTTCCAGCATTGCTTTGACGGGTGGACTGGGCACTTGTGTCGGTGCATAGCTTCCCAGCGGGAGGATTTGGAAAGTGTCTGTGGTGATATTCAGCAACGAGGTATAGGGAGCATTTTTTCTAGGATGGTTCATGAACCTAATTGTTGGACATCATAGTTTAGGAAAACTATAGACTGTGGGTTAAAAATCCCAGAAATTGAGATCATTTTCTTAATTTTTTTTTCTTATCTCTCTATGTGATATTTAGGAGAAAAAAATGCAATGTAAGAAACAATGGAAGAGCTTTTTATCTGAGCTCGAAGTTTTTCTGCTGTGAGTATATTCTGTCTGGAATTCCCCCTCCTGGTGCCTGGGTTCTGCCCCTGCTTGTCTTGGATTTTATAGCAGTGTGGGTCGGATGTGAGAATGTTGGGTGAGTCTGCAACATCTGCTTCAGTGTGGTCCTTAAAGTACGTTTGAAATGGATCACTTACATAATTCGCATGAATGTGTTTTAACAAGAAGCTGTCACACGGAGGTGGGTTAAGTCATGTGCGACTGGCACGGCTGATGGGTGATTCGTAGACATTAGAGCTGTGTGCATTCGCCATCTCCCGCTTCCTGAGAGGTGGTCCGGTCTTGCACCTGGTTTGTCAGCACAGCTGTCTTCAGGAAGAGGGCTTTGGATGAAGAAATCTCACACTTTGGATGTGCAGGTTATTTTGGGGGATTCATTCGTGAGTCTGAGAGTCCTCAGAGACAAACTGAAATGACTTCGTGTCCATTGGAGACTGACTCCTCCTCCAACTGGCTGGCTCCCCCCAGCCCCACAGAGCTCAGTCACCCTTGGCAAACAGAAAATGTGCTTTTCAGATGTTTTCTGAACCAGTGTGTGTGGTGGGGGATGGGGTTGGCGTCTCACTCTGTCGCCCAGGCTGGAGCGCAATGGCATGACCATGATGATCACAGCTCATGGCTGCCTCGACCTCCTGGACTCAGGCAATCCTTTCCACCTCAGCCTCCCGAGTAGCTGGGACTACAGGTGTGTGCCACCACACCCAGCTAATATTCTTGATTTTTTGTAGAGACGAGGTTTCTTCATGCTGCCCAGGTGAGATTTCTCCATGTTTCGCACTCCTGGGCTCGAGCAGTCCTCCCACCTTGGCCTCCCAAAGTGCTGGGATTACAGGCGTAGGCCAGCTGTGCCCGATTCTCCCTTTCCCTTTTATGCCAAGGACCAGAAAACAAAATATTAGAGGCTAATCACAAAACCTTGCATGTCGTGTAGGCAGTGAAAAACGAAGTCCAAAATTGTGACAGCAAAAGGTTTCTACCTTTAAGTTTTATTATTTATTTATTCATATTTGCTGTGAAGGTAAGATTCAGACATTCCAAAAGCCCAAAAGGCTAGAGCAAGGAATGGCATTAATGTCATCCACCCTCGGCTAATTCCAAGGCAACAGTGTTCCTGGTGTGTGTGTGTGTGTGTGTGTGTGTGTGTGTGTGTGTGTGTGTGTGTGTGTGTTTTCAGAGATATCTCATTTCTAGGCAAATATAGATCTTGTTTTCTTACTTGTCTCCTTTTACCCAAGAGGCAGCATAAACGCATGGCTCATCTTTCTTATTTTCATATCCTGTTGTTGCTGTTATTCACTTAACCATTCCCCTGGTGATGGGTTTTCAGGTTGGATCGAATGTTTTATTGTTCAAAAATATCGCCGCAACAAGCAAACCTCGGAGAGGTGTCATCTCGCACCCAGGTGGGACGGTCTGCAGGATGCATTCCCACATGAAATGGTTGCACCAGGGGATACACGTACTGCAGAGTCCCCCCTCATCCTCTGCTGACAAGCTGCCGACGACGTCTTCAGCAGCCACAGATGGAGAGTGCGGGTCTCCGTGCTTGCAACCTAGTGCTCATTCTGACCTTTTAATTTCTGCCAACTTGATAGGTGGAAATAGCTTATCAGTGTAGTTTTGGAAAATTTTTGATTGACAGATAAAAATTGTGTATCTTCAGTGTGCACAATGTGATGGTGTGATATGCCGTGCACATTCGTGACTGAACAATGACCGCAGTTGGCTTAACGGACGCATCCCTCCCCACGGTGCTGCAACTGAGGCCACGGATCCTGCTCACTCATGTCTGAACGTCTGCACCCTTTGGTCAGCATCTTTCCCCCACCTCCCCAGGCGCCTGGAAACCCTTTTTCTACTTTCTGCCTCCATGACTTTGAGTTTTTTTGGTTCCACATGTTAAGTGAAAGCATGCGGTATGTGTCTTTCTGTGTCTGGCTTCTTTCACTTAACAAAGTCCTCCAGGTCATCCGTGCTGTTGCACACGGCAGGACTTTCTTCTTTTTTATGTCTGAATAATATTTCTGTGTGTGTGTGTGTGTGTGTGTGTGTGTGTGTGTTTGTGTGTGTGATACTTTATTCATTCATTCATTCATCAACACTTAGGTTGTTTCTGTGTATCCTGGCTGCAGTGCCAAGTGCTTCAAAGAACATGGGTTGCACATATCTCTCTGATAGACTGATTTCACTTCTTTTGGACAGATATCCAGTGGTGAGGTTGTTGGATCCTATGCCAAGCTCTATTTTTTATTTTTTGGGTTTATTTGAGTAGGAGTCTTACTTTGCTGCCCAGGCTGGAGTGCAGTGGCATGCTCACGACCACCACAGCCCCGACCTGCTGGGCTCCGGCGAGCCTTCTGCTTCAGCCTTCCAAGTAGCCAGAACTACAGGCACGTGCTACCATGTGTGGCTTATTTTTTTGATTTATTGTAGCGATGAGGTCTCGCCAGATTGCCCAGGCTGGTCTCCAACCCCTGGGCTCAGGCGACCGTCTTGCCTCAACCTCCCAAAGTGCTGGGATTACAGGCTTGAGCCATTGTACAGGCCCGGCCATTTTTTGTTTTTAAGGAAGCTTCATAATGGCTGTACCAATTTACAGTCCCACCAATGGCATACAGGAGTGTCCTCGTCTCCACACCCTCGCCAACACCCATCATCACGTCTTTTTGGTAACAACCATCCTAATAGGTGTGAAGTGGTCTCTCCTCTCAACTTGAACTTGCATTTTCCTGGTTATTAGTGATGCTGAGCACTCTTTCACGTACCTGTTGGCCATTTGTGTGTCTTTATAAAACACCTATTCAGTGCCTTTGCCTGGCTTTGATCAGTTATTTGCTTTCTTGCTATTGGGTTGTGCGAGTTCCTCTTACATTTCACATGCTAACCTCTTATCAGATAAGTGGTTTGCACATACTTTCCCCCACCCACAGGCTCTCTCTCCTTCTGCCGGCCGCCTCTTCTGCTGTGCAGGGGTTTTTGTCTGGTGGAGGCCCACTTGCTATTTTTGCTCTGTTGCCTGTGATCTGTCATACCCAAAAAAGTCATTGCCAAGACCAATGTCAAGGAGACTGTCCCATGTTTTCTTCTAGGATTCTTACAGTTTCAGATCTTACATTTGAGTCTTTAATCTATTTTGAGTTGAATTTTGTACATGATGTAAGCCCAGGGCCCAGTTGTATTGTTTCACATGTGGATATCCAGCTTTCCCAACACCATTCACTGAAAAGGCTTTCTTTCCCTGTTGTACATTCTTGGTGCTCTTTTCAAAGGTTAGTTGATCATAGACATGCAGGTTTATTTCTGGGCTCTCTATCCATTCTATTGGCTTATGTGTCTGTTTTTATGCCAGTACCACACTGTTTTGATTACTCTAGCTCTGTAATAGTGTTTGAAATCAGAAAGAGATGCCTCTGGCCGTCTTTGTCTTCCTCAAACTTACTTTTACGGTTTGGGATCTTTCACCATTCTGTATGAATTTTAGGATTGTCTTTGGTGTTCTTGCAAAAGAATGCCTTTGGAATTTTGGTAGGGATTGCACTGAGTGTGTAGATCACTCAGGGAATTCCCACAGTATCAATTCTTCCAATCCATATACGCAAGATAGCTTTCCATTTATTTGTGTCTTCTTCAATGTCTTTCATCAGTGTCTTATGTTTGTCGGTGTACAGGTACCTTCACCTCCTTGAGTCAACTCATTCTTAAGAATTTTATTCTTTTTAATGTTATTGTAAATAGGATACTTTTCTTAATTCCTTTTTTGGAGGGTTTGTTTTTAATGCATAGAATCAGCTGATTTTTGTGTTGTATGTGTTGATTTTGTATTGTGCAACTTTCTGAATTTGCTGATTACTTCTAACAGTTTTTTGCTGGAGTCTCTAGGGTTTTCTGCACATAAGATCATGTCAGTAGCAAACAGAGGGAGTTTAACTTTCTCCTTTCTAGTTAGTGTGACCTTTATTTCTTCTCCTTGCCTAACTGCTCCAGCTAAAACCTCCAGAACTATGTTGAATAGACGCTGTAATAGTGGGCATCCTTGTCTTTTTCCTGAACTTAGAGGAAAAGCTTTCAGCTTTTCGCTGTTGGGTATGATGTTAGCTGTGGGCTTCTCATATATGACCTTTATTATATCGAAGTGCATTCCTTCTATACCTAATTTGCTGAGAGTTTTTTTTTAATCATGAAAGGACGTTGAATTTTTTCAAATGCTTTTGCATTTGTTGAGATGATAATATTTTTATCTTTAATTCTGTTATTGTGGTGTATAATTTATTGATTTGCACTTGTTGAACTATCCTTGCATCCCAGGGATAAGCCCCACCTGATTATGGTTTATGATCTTGTCAATGTGCTGTTGAATTTGGTTTGCTAGTATTTTGTTGAGGATTTTTGCATTCATAGTTGTTGGGGATATTGGCCTGTAGGTTTCTTGTCATGCTCTTATCTGGCTTTGGGATGAGGGCAATGCTGGCCCAGTAAAATGAGTTTGGAAGTGCTCCCTCCTCTTAAATTTTCTGGAAGTGTGTGAAAAGGATTAGTATTCATTCTACTTTAAATGCTTGGTAGAATTCACCCAGAAGCCTATGGTCCTGGGCTTTTCCTTTTGGGAGATTTTTGACTACTGACTCAATCACCTTAGTTGTTGTTGGTCTGTTCAGATTTTCTGTTTTGTCATGACTCAGTCTTGAAAGTTTGTATTTTTCTAGGAATTGATCCATGTCTTCTAAGTTACCTAGTTTGTCAATGTGTAATAGTCCATCATAATCTCTTATGATCCTTTGTATTTCTGTGGTATCAATTGTTATATATCCTCTTTCATTTATCATCTTACTTATTTGAGTCTTCCCAAAAAAAAGGAGTCTCATTGTAGTTTCAACTTCTTTTTCTTGGCTGGATGTAGTGGCTCTCACCTGTAATCCCAGCACTTTGGGAGGCTGAGGCTGGAGAATGTCTTGAGCCCAGGAGTTCAAGACCAGCCTGGGCAACACAACGAGACCTTGTCTCTACATTAAAAAAAAAAATTGAGTGAGATTAATATTCTATTTTTTTTAATTTTTAATTTTAATTTTAATTTTTTATTTTTTTTGAGTTGGAGTCTCACTCTGTCACCCAGACTGGAGGGCAGTGGCTGCTCCCGGCCACTGCAGCCTTGACCTGCTGGGCTCCAGTCATCCTTCCGCCTCAGCCTTCCAAGTAGCTGGAACTATAGGCGCACGCTACCACACCTGGCTCATTTTGATTTATTGTAGAGATGAGGTCTCACCAAGTTGCCCAGGCGGGTCTCGAACCCGCGGGCTCAGGCAATCCATTTACCCCAGCCTCCCAAAGGCGCGGGATTACAGGCTGAGCCATCGAGCCCGGCGATTAATAGTCTTTTTACATATTTGAAGGATAGCCTTCCTTTCCTATAAAATATCTAATAATATCTTTTGCCTATTTAAAAAAATTAGGTTGTCTTTTTCTTAATAGATTGAAGGAAAATTTTATATATTAGATAAAAATAACTTATTGTTATGTTATAAGATATACATACTTTTTCCAAGCTGCCGTTTTGCTTTTGCTTATTGTTGTTTTGCCATATAGAAATGTTTTTAATGTAGGTGAATTTATCAATGTTTTCTTTTATGGGGTCCAGATTTTGTGTTACACTTAAAAGGCCTTCACCACTAAGAATTATAAAATAAATCTTCCATGGATATTTCTAGGCCTTTTATGGTTCATTTTTTACATTTATGTATCTAGTCCATTTGTTTTCTCTGGTGAGGTATTTTCTAGATGAATTACAACAACTTGTCTAGATTTTTTTTTTTTTAATTCTTTTGGTGTTTTTAATGGGACTGCGGTAACTCTACAGATTAATTTAGGGCACATTAACAACTTTGTTATGCTGAGTATTCTTGGGGACCATTATTACTATTTATTTTGCTGGTATTTATTTAGTGTTAGGCACTATTGCAAGTTCTTAACATATATTAATTTGTTAATCCTCACAACCATCCAGTGAGATAATTTCTCCTGCTATCCCCATTTTGCAGATGAGGAAACTGAGGCTGGGTCTACCCTTTCTATGGGCTCCCCCTTATCCCACAGCTCATCTTCACTCTCCCTCCTCTCAGATGGGACTGAGGCAGGTGCAGCTTTCCCCTCTCAGAAGGGGTTGGAGAAAAGTCCACAGGGAAGCAGATAAGTTCAGGAAACTGATTAACTAACAAGATGAGGAAACAGCACAGAGGAGGGGGTGGTCACCCAGGGCACAGGCAGCAGAACGAGGTTCTTGGAGAAACAGAATCTAAGCCGAGATCGCTAGGAAGAGCGGTTTTAGGTTAATGTCATAAACTCTGTTGGAGGTAGTTTCTGATTCCTTTTTTTTTCTCCTTCTCAAGGGAAGAAATTGGAGCTAATAATTTTTGAGGATCAGACTGGGTACAGTGGCTCATGCCTATAATCCCAGCACTTTGGGAGGCTGAGGTGAGAGGATAGCCTGAGCCCATGGGTTGCAAACCAGCCTGGGCAATTGGCAAGATCTCCTCTCTACAGTAAATCAAAAAATTAGCCAGGTGTGGTGGAGTGTGCCTATAGTTCCAGCTACTTGGAAGGCTGAGGCGGAAGGCTTGCCTGAGCTCAGCAGGTTGAGGCTGTGGTGACCGTGAGCGTGCCACTGCACTCCAGCCTAGGCAACAGAGGACTCTGACTCAAAAACAAAAACAAAAACCCCTTGGCTTAATATTTTAATTTTCATAAGAGCCTTGGAAGTAGGTGGTATTTTTTGTTTGTGTATTTTTGTTGTTGTTCTAGAGACAGGGTCTTGCTCTGTCTTCAGGCTGAGTGCAATGGTGCCACTGTAGCTCACTGCAGCTTCCAGCTCCTGACCTCAAGCAATCCTTCCAGCTCAGCCTTCCAAAGTGCTGGGACTACAGGCGTGAGCCACCATGACTGACCAAACATAGGTGTTTTCATTCTTGCTCACAGTGGAAGGAACAGGCTCGGAGAGATAAAATAACTTGCCCACATTCCCACAGCTGATAAGAAGACCAGAGATTCCAACCCTAATTAGTCATTCAAGTCTGTGTTGAATGAGTTTGCATCATTCTGTCTGCAGAAGACACTCAGGAAAGCTTGCTCAAATGGTTGTATTTTTATTGATTGATTGATTGATTGAGTCGGGGTCTCACTCTGTCTCCCAGGCTGGAGTGCAGCGGCATGATCATGGCTCACCGCAACTGCAAACTCCTGGGCTCAGGCAATCCTTCTGCCTCAGCCTCCCAAAGAGCTGAGTCATATCACCATGTCCAACTAATTTCGTTTTATTTTTGTAGAAACAAAGTTTCACTCTGTTGCCCAGACTGGTCTCAAGCTCCTGACCTGAAGCAATCCTCCCACCTCAGCTTCTCAAAGTGCTGGGATGGCAGGCATAAACCACCATGCTCGACCCATAAACGGAATTTTTTTTGCAGCTCTATTTTGATATCCCCAAGCTTGCCCAGCACATAGTAGGTGCCAGTAAATAATCATTGAACTAAATGGAGTTCACAGTGTGTGTGACTTTCACATCTGATCCTTCATGGTTGTTTCCTGGCTCCGTTGGCTTCAGAGAAATGGCAACACGATGGAAGAGTAGGGTTTTTGTCTGTGAGCTAATCAGTGCCTGATAGGGAAGGGGCTTGAGAATTGTGTCTACACTGATGTAGGGTCTATGATTTAAGACCATCAACAAGCTACTAGTCAGATGGATGGTAGATGCGATGGACCGCACAAGCCTTGTGGAGATGCTGGTGTCCCTTCCAGCTGTGTGACCAGAACCCAGCACACACTTGATGTGGCAGGCGCCCAGCAGAGGGAGAATGCAGTCTTCTCCACACTTACGTTTCAGTGATTTAACCTTACATGCATAAACAAATAAAAGAAATCTCTGTTGCGCTGTCTTTATTTAGTAAACAATTCATATTGTTTCATCTGATAACAATAAGTTAATATTGAATCGCATCGTCTAGTTTTTACAAAGGTTCCAGCATCCCCATCTTTACAAATCTTCACCTTCTTAAATGTTCTTAAATGTTTATAGTTGGATATCTGATTTATATTTACATGGTCACAGGGAGTCCAAAGAGTAGCTAGTGTGTGTTAGCACTCTCTAGACCAGCGGTCCCTAGCCTTTTTGGCATCACGGACCGGTTTCGTGGAAGACGACTCTTCCAAGAACCCGGAGCTAGGGTATGGGGGGACAGCTTTCCGGACGATTCAGGGGCATGACGTTTGTTGTGCACTTCGTTTCTGTGGTTATGGCGTCATAATATGTAATGAAATAAGTGTACAACTCACCACTAAAAAAAGAGTCACGGACGGAAGTGGTCTTTGGAACAACGAGCGGGCCACGTGCGGGCTGAAGTAAGCGTGGGACTCTGACTGAGAGCCTGCCACCAGGTGCCACTGTCCAGTGAAGTCTGTCAGCTCACTGGCCACTCACTGAGAGGGCTTTGACGTGGGTCTGCCAGCGCTGGGTTATGGCGGTCCCTGGGCCCTCCCACCTCCCTGCTCACCGTCGGCATCTGCGGCCGCTCCCAGCGCCTGCATCCCCCTCAGACCATCAGGCGTCTGATTCTCAGGGAGCCACAACCTAGATCCCTCACAGGTGCTATGCACAGCAGGGTTTGCGCTCCTCTGAGAATCGAATGCCACCACGGAGCTCAGGGGTCATGCAGGCGATGGGGAACGGCTGTAAACACAGCTGAAGCATCACTTGCCCCCAGCCACTCACCTCCTGCTGTGTGGCCCCATTCCTAACAGGCACGGCCAGGGCTTGGACACCCCTGCTTGAGACCACCTTGGAAAGCAGATCTGTGTCATGTGTCCGGTGAAGTGACTTCTCCCTCACCTCATGTACATTCTGCTTAGACCTACTCCCCACCCCGCCTTAAGCACCCCCAAGCCAGGGCTGTTCGTTGCCTACTTGAATGAGCCATCTGATGACGCTGCACGTCTTTTGTCTCAAGGTTTCGTCATCCGAACATCCTGGAGTTGGCTGCGTATTTCACGGAGACCGACAAGTTCTGTCTGGTTTATCCGTACATGAGGAACGGGACGCTTTCAGACAGATTGCAGTGTGTGGTAAGTCCTGTCTCTGAACCTCTGACCCTCCAAAGCCTGGAGGAGCTGCTGGAACCTCCCGAGAAAGCTGGGAGGAAGATGTGTATGCACGAGGGGACGGCCAAGGATGGGCTTCCCAGGCAGGACACTTCCTGATCAAGGTCTCTAAGACTTAGTTGCGTAAATACACAGTTTCCAAAGACCTCCAGTGAGTTTACCTCAACTATGTTTATTTCTTAGATAATTTTACATTGTGTAGCTTTATACAAAGTGCCATTCAACACGTAGGATAGAGGTGGAATTGATATGGATGCCTTAAAGAGGAGGTTGAGTAAATGCCGTGATTCCCCATATGATGTTTTTGAAGGTTTAGTTTAAAAATTGATTCCAGCGTAGGCGGAAGGATCGCCTGAGCCCAGCAGGTCGATGCTGGGATGGCCATGAGTGTGCCACTGCACTCCAGCCTGGGCAACAGAGTGAGACTCCAACTCAAAAAAAGAAAACTGATTCCAAATAGGTTAAGTTTCAGTTAGGATGAGACTAAAAGCAGATTATTGTTCTCAGTTACCCACATGATTGTGCCACAGATAATTTAAGATTTTTGTTTAATGCACTTTTTTTTTTTTTTTTTGAGACCATGCTCATAGCCACCGCAGCCTCAACCTGCTGGACTTAGGCGATCCTTCCGCCTCAGCCTTCCAAGTAGCTGGAACTGCAGATGCTCGCCACCATGCCTGGCTAGTTTTTTTGTGTGTGATTTATTGTAGAGAGGAGATCTTACCAAGTTGCCCAGGCTGGTCTTGAACCCATGGGCTCAGGCAATCCTCTTGCCTCAGTCTCCCAAAGTGCTGGGATTACAGGCCAAGCACCGTGCCCAGCCTATTTAATAAACTTTTAAACAGAGTTACCTTACGGGCTGCGTTCTGATTAAGCTAGTATTAGAAATTATTGAGTGTTTTGATTGTGTATGAAGAGGCCTAGGGCTTTCCTTGATAGCAGAAAGAGGCCCATCTGGAAGTAAACCGAGGCTATAGCGAACCCAGACATCATTGACCTCCTGATACTGCCTTGCCTTCTGCACCTGCCCTGCATGCTTTTACGTAATCAATGCAGGGATCGTGTTGACTCAAGAGGTGCCACTCAAGTGCCTGCTGCTGTCGTTTCAGGGGGACACGGCCCCACTCTCCTGGCTCGTTCGCATAGGCATACTGGTAGGAGTAGCCAGAGCTGTCCACTACCTGCATACCACTCAGCCATGTGCCGTCATCTGTGGCAGCGTGACAAGGTGAGCGGCCAGGACTCAGGGTGCCGTCAGCCCCCTCGCAAGCACGGGGGTCCTGCTGCCCACGATCCCCACCCTCGTGTTTGTGGTGTGTGTGCTGTTGAGAACTCGCATCGGAGTTTTGAGAGCCTTACCCTTTCATTAATGAAAATGTGTTTACTAAATTTATATGTGTGTGTGTGTATATATATATATATATATATATATATATATTTTTTTTTTTGAGTCAGTGTCTCACTCTTGCTTAGGCTAGAAGGCAGCGTCATGCTCACGGCCACTGCAGCGAGCCACCGCAGCCTCGACCTGCTGGGCTCAGGTGATCCTTTCACCTCAGCCTTCCAAGTAGTTGGAACCACAGGTGCACACCACCATACCTGGCTAATTTTTTTTTTTTTTTTTACTTATTGTAGAGATGAGGTCTCACCAAGGTGCCCAGGCTGAATTTTGAACCCCTGGGCTCAGGCAGTCCTCTCACCTCTACCTCCCAAAGTGTTGGGATTACAGGCATGAGCCACCACGCTCAGCGTTTTTTTTTTTTTTTTAATCAGAGTCTTACTCTGTTGCACAGACTGGAGTGCAGTAGCATGATCACAGTGACCACCGTTTCAACCTGCTGGGCTCAGGAGATCCTTCGTCCTCAGCCTCCCAAGTAACTGGGACCACAGGTGTGCACCACCATGCCTGGCTAATTTTTTAATTTTTTGTAGAGACGCGGTCTCACTATGTTACCCAGGCTGGTCCCAAGCTCCTAGGCTCTAGCAGTCCTCCTACCTCAGCCTCCAAAGTGCTGGGATTATAGGCGTGAGCCACCATGCCCGTCCTACCAAATGTAAAAAGTGATATTTATGTTGACAGCAAGGGAGTATGCATTATCTCTAGGAGTTGTTCATTGACAATGTAGGGTAGACAGTTCTGTGTACAGATGGGCCCGATCTATAATGACTTAAGTTTTCGGCTTCATGATGATGTCAAAGCAATCCACGTACAGTAGACACCGCACCGCGAACCCCCACACAACCATTCAGTGTTTCACCACAGATGGCATCCGCCCGAGTGCCTGAGACACTCGACACCTTGTAATAAAGTTGGCTTTGTGTTAGATGACCGTGCCCGACCGCTGGCTGGTGTGAGTGTCCTGGGTGTGTATCCTGCAGCCCAGGCTCCGCGGTGTCTGCGGGTGAGGTGTGTTCAGCATGTTTTCATCTTACGACTGTGTGTTGCAGTGTAGCCTTGTCCTGAGTGGGGCCCCTGCATTTTCTTAGTGATCCCTGATGGCTACTGTGAAACGAGCCTGCACTGACCTCATGTGCTCTGACACTCAAGTTTAAGGAAAGGTTAAGTGACTTGGATGGGCTTCCTAGCAAGGCGGCAGAGTGAGTAGCAACTGACCATCTTCATCCTTGGGTCTCTGGGGTCCTGCTCGCTCTACGAGCTGCGGTCTTACAGCTTTGCAGATCAGCCCTTGATAGGCTGAGCGGAGACCCCAGCCTTTGTCCTTGAGACGTGAGAAAATTAGACGCGCCTTTCTCGTAGTCCTTCCTCAGTGGGCAAGAGGCATCAATCACAGAGCAGAGACCCTGCAGCAGAGCCCAGTGGCGTGATTTTTCCTGTCTGCCCTCTGTCTTGAACCTGGAAATTGGGGAAGACTGAGATTGGAAGGCTGCCACTTAGTCGGACCCTTGTCCATGTGTCCTAGAAAAGCATTGTGTGTTTTGGCCTGAGCAGAAGGAGGGCTGGCTGCTTGTGTGCTGACTTTTCCAAGAAAGTGAGCCCCGCACAAAGAGTCTCCAGATGGTACTTAGCCCTGGGGTGGGGAGCTGCTCCCGCATGGGGTGGGGGCCCACCTACTGCTGTGGGTGCTGCAGAAGCGGCATAAAACCAAGGCCAGCCGGGAGCACCCACAGAGGAACCGTGGGGCCTTGGGATGGGTGGGTCATCACTGAATCCTTCCAAGGGGCCGAGGTGGCTGCCCCCAACCTCAGCTCCTTCTCCACCACTTACAGCCAGTGCTGAGCACAGGACACGCCCACGTGGATGTCTTCCCAGTGCGCAGAGAGCTGGGATTTTGCTGTAGAGTTCTTCCTTTGTTACAGCCCCATCCAACAGCTAGTGTGGCCCCCACGGTCACTCCAATATGAGAGGCAGAGCGCTGGGAGAAGGAAGGAGTTTTATTCTGATACCATGGGAGCAGGAAACAGGCTGTGTAGCTACCAGAAGCCTGTTCGTTTAAGCAGAGTTTCCGTCCAGTGTTTATAATAAACATACGGTTTCTTATCTTTTCCCACTCTTGATTACTAATGACCACGTGTCTTATGACCAGAGCTTAGACCCAAGCAGTCAGTCCCGCCCTTCTTCTAAGTGACAATGACCTTGAACCACTTGGGACTGCATGCTTGTGGTGGTGACAGTTTTTTGCTTGTTCCGGGAGTTCTGGTTCTCAAGACTTGGTTAAACATTATACATCAAATTAGTACAAAGACGTGAAGGAAAGCAGTTGTCATCTGGAGACTCGGGGAACAGATATGCTTCTGGGTTTGAGAACATTCCAGCAGAGCCCATTTTTCGTCTGGGTCCGGCGGAGGCTTTTCCAGGGATGTGCAGTCTTCTTCCGTGAGTCTCCTGCTATCAGGGGCTCCGTGCACGTGGCTGTGTTCCCTCCAGTCCCAGCCACAGTTACTAGTTCCAAGGACAGTGAAGAGGGGGACTGGAAAAACATTCACTGTTAAATTCAAACAGCTTCTACATTTAGCCCAAGTCAGCTTAACACAAGTTCCTAAGTCTTTTCTAAATGACTAAATGTAACCAAAATGGCCTCTTTTCAGCCTGTAACACTTTTGATTTAAACTTACGGCAAGCATTACTTTGTTTTATGTCATTATATATTTTTTTATAGACAGAGTCTTTTTCTTTGGCCCAAGCTGGGATACAGTGGTGCAGTCATAGTTTACCACAGCCTCGACCTCCTTGGCTCAGGCAATCCTCCCACCTCAGCCTCTTGAGTAGCTGGGACTACAGGCATGTGCCACCAACTCTGGATAATTTTTTAAATTTTCTATAGAGACAAGGTCTCTCTATGTTGCCCAGGTTGGTCTTGAACAACTGGGCTCAAACCTCCCAAAGTGCTGGGATTACAGTCATGAGCCACCACACCCAGCCTTAGCTTATTTAAAGTGTTGAACAGTAGCCGGGCTTGGTGGCTCAGCCTTTGGGAGCCTGTGCTTTGGGAGGCTGAGGTGAGTGGATTGGCTGAACCTGGGGGTTCAAGACCCACCTGGGCAACTTGGCGAGACCTCATCTCTACAATAAGTCAAAAATTAGCCGGGTGTGGTAGCGCGCGCCTGTAGTTCCAGCTACTTGGAAGGCTAAGGCGGAAGGATCGCCGGAGCCCAGCAGGTCGAGGCTGAGGTGGCTGGGAGCGGCCACTGCACTCCAGTCTGGGCAACGGAGTGAGACTCCAACTCAAAATAAAATAAAATAAAAAATAAAATGTTGAGCAGTAATATATGAATTGTATTAAGCTTCCTTTTGTGTGGTTGAGTTCATCAAGTCCTTTCTTGAACGGAGAGTTTGAAGGAGAGAGAGGGGAAGAGGGGATGGGTTTTCTGGTTCTTGATGGGCGAGGGGGACAGGAGGGCCACGGACTAGAGGGGAGGGAGGCACGCGGGCTCTGCCCTTGCCCAGGATTCTTCACGGCTGAACCTGGGCAGGGCGATTCGCAGGGGCCGGTGCAGGGTCTCCTGGGTCGGGGGAGCACAGACCTGGGCCCTCACCACTTTCTCACTGGGGTCAAGGTGAGCATAGGCCTGGGTCCTCACTGCCTTCTGGCTGGGGGTTAGGGACTCAGCAGGTTTCCAGGAAACGGCTCAGAGGCTGAGATCTGCCTGTAGAGAGTTTTGTTTGTTTGTTTGTTTGTTTGTTTTACTGTGGGCCTCTCAGGGACAGCAAGTGAAGGATGGGCAGGAAGAAGGCAGGACCAGCGAGGCTGAGCTGGGAGTGGATGTCGTGGGGCCTGGCCGAGGGCCGGGACGCCCTCGAGCGGGGCCCTGCAGGACATCCCTGCACCCCGTGTCTGACCAGCCCTGGAGGGCAGCTCCCTCTACCAGGACAGTTCCCCATGGGGTTTGGTGGGGAGCCATGCTCAGCCCACCCTCCCCGGACCTGGGAGGGCTCGATGGGGCCAGGGGCTCTCGGCAGCTTGTGGAGAAAGACTTGATGGGACAGAGCTGAAGAGTATGTCCCAGGAGGATCCTGTCTCCCAAGCTTTCCACCCACTCCCCTCCCCTTCCTCAGCTCAGCGACCTTGACCCTGACCCTGATGTCTGCATCAGAGGGCTGATTCTAGAAATGACCATCTGCTCAAAGCATGATTCTGAGCAAATGGCTTAATGTCCTCAGCCTCTGTCTTCCCCTCTGCAAAATGCTCATGACAAAGCAAGTGCCTCTGTCTCGTGGGGTGGATGACCTCGGCAGGGACGTCCAGGTGACTCTGGTCTTGATGGGCAGAGGAGGCACTGGTCACTGCAGGATCTGCACGATGTGGCGGCCAATACCTCTTTCCGCAGGTCACGCATTGACGTCCCTTGGCAGTCAGTTTATCTGTTTAAGAAGTGGGCCAGCCAGACTCAGTAGCTCAGCCTGTCATCCCAGCACTTTGGGAGGCCGAGGCGAGTGGATTGCCTGAGCCTGCGAGTTCGAGACCAGCCCGGGCAACTTGGCAAGACCTTGTCTCTACAATAAATCAAAAATTAGCCAGGCATGGTAGCGCACACCTGTAGTTCTGACTACTTGATAGCCTGAGGCAGAAGGATCACCAGAGCCTAGCAAGTCAACGTTGGAGTGGCCGTGAGTGTGCCACTGCACTCCAGCCTGTGTGGGAGTGAGACTCCAACTCAAAAAAAAAAAAAAGAAGTGGGCCCACAGACCCAGCTCTGTTTTAAGGGCAATCACTCTCTGCTAAGATGTGCTCAGCGACTGTCTTGAGAACCACACTCCTTCTAGTTGTCAAGGAGTTTGGGATCCTGGGTGTGCACAGAGTGTCATGTTGGACCACACTGCGGGGACGCTGGCAACCGCAGTCTCGTCCTCGAAGGTTGAACAGGTGACCCAAGAGGGAACATGCACACAGTGCACCGGCCAACAGGAAGCGTGCCCAGCACCCAGCGGGTCCCAGAGCCTCCTCTGGTCGGAGTCCAAGCCCAGCCCTGGCGAAGGTGGGTAAGGACGGTGGGCTGAAGGAAGGGGGAAAGCAAGTTTGTTTGTTTGTTTGTTTGGCTGGTTCGGTTCTTTGTTTAATTCATCAGTCTCCTCCTCCTCCCGCTTTCCTCCCCTCTGGAAAGGAAGGGAGGGATAGAGGAAAGGAAGAGAGGAAGAGAAAGAAAGAAAAGAGAGACCTCCATTTTCACTTTTCGGTAACACTGTAGACACGAACAGTTCCTTTTTCTGAGACTCTATTTCCCTCCAGCACCTCCACTCTTCTAAACTGTCCTGATATCTCCACTTTTTCCCTTTGGCAGGCCCATGCAATTAAATAGGGCGTAAATTAAATTTTCCCCTGTCGATTCTGTTTTCACCACTGTCTCTAAGCCCCACCATCCATGTGTTTATGCTCATACATGTGGACACACATGCACAGTGCATGCCTCACGGGCTGCTTGCTCTCCGTCGTCGTAAAGTACTTAGAACCATTACCCTAATTGGGTGTATCCAGAACATCCCTGGAACTATTTTGGAATCAGCTGATTTCTTGAAACAAATGAACCCAGGCCCTCAGGTCTCCTGGGTCGTCCTGCAGCCCGGGTCTTTGCCCCTTGAGCTGGTGTCCTGGTACTTCACCGAGAGATGCCTTCCTGGCCCCGGGGCTCTTGGGGCAAGGTACTGGGCGCAGGCCAGGCAAGGCAGGACACAGCCTCAGGGCCCTCTCGGTGTCAGGAGCCCTGTTGGCGTCTTCCCATTCAGTTCTCGTGAGAGGTGAGCGTTGTCAGATCTCACCTGCAAGGAAACGGGCTTAGGTGGTGTGAGTCGGGGTGGAGCCCAGCTTCCCGTTTAAAGGAGGAGCACCTCTCTGGATAGGAATTTCCACAGGACGCCTGGACTCCAAGGGGCCCATAAAGCAAAAACAAGCCTGACTATTGTCACTAAGACCCGCCAAGGCTCAGAGGGGAGGAAGGAGAAAGCTCCTTGATCCCGAGAGCAGTAAAGTGTTCAGCTTTGTTGTTGTTTTTGACTCTGAGTCTTGGAGTGCAGTGGCACGATTGTGGCTTACCGCAGCCTTGACCTCCTAGGCTCGGGCGATCCTCTTGCCTCAGTCTTCCGAATAGCTGGGACTACAGGCCCACACTACCACACCGGCTAATTTTTAATTTTTTCGTGGAGACAAAGTGTTGCTGGTCTCGAAGTCTCGGGCTCCGGTGATCCTCCCGCCTCGGCCGCCCAGAGTGCAGGGATTACAGGTATGAGTCACTGTGCCTGGTCCAGGGTCCAGCTTTGTACCTCTGGGCAGGACGTAGTGTACACTGAAGGGGAATGTGCACGACACCGTCAGCTACCTCCAGTGCTCAGAGACGTTGGGTCTGGCCCTCGTCTGCTGAGCGGAGGCAGGACACCTGGCGAGGGGGGCCTTGATGTTGCAACAGCTATGACACAGGCACCACGTGTGTCCTGTTGCCACAGGCTGCCACAGAGAGGCCATGGGGTCCACTTTCTCTCTGACTCCTCGTCCCTCTTTCCTGCCTCACACTTTGGGTAGTGCTCTGACGTTTCCTGAGAGAAGCCAGGCTCTCGGGGGCTGGAACTCTGGGCATCAATGACCCCTTCAGAAATACACTAGGGGTGTCAAAACATGTAGACACTTTTATTTATTTATTTATTTCATTATTCTATTTGTCAGAGTCTCACACCGTGTCCCAGGCTGGAGTGCAGTGGCATGCTCACAGCCACCCCAGTGTCGACCTGCTGGGCTCGGGCGATCCTTCTGCCTGTTAAGAGATGTTCGCCGTCATCAGAAGCATCTGACGCTGACGGGAACCACTTTGAGCACCTCTTGTAACTGCAGAAGTCAAACGTGACTTGTATTCATCATATTGAGTATTACAATTTTAATGCAGACTTTTCCTTTCTTAAAATGTGTGTACATTTTTTGGCACCCTCTGTGTATACATTTATGTGTATTGTAAATAGAGACAGGATCTCACTGTGTTGCCCAGGCTGGTCTCAATCTCCTGGGCTCAAGTGATCCTCCCACCTCGGCCTCCCAAAGTGCTGAGATTACAGGCATGAATCACCACGCACGACCAGAAATATGTATCTTTAAAAACCCATCACGCTCTTACATGTCAAATGTGGTGTTTTCACTAAGTTCCAATCCCTCATTCCAATCCAGGGGGATCACCTGGCTTTATGTTCGAGGTCCCTGGGATCCAACTATACGAGGAGACAAACTGGTGAGCCAAGAGAGCACCTCTCACGACAAAGTCGCATTTGTCGGGAGAACTCGGGTCCCCCAACAGAGGCTAAGCGACGCCCCAGAGTCAGGGCACTCCTCCCTGCAGGACCCTCCCATGGCCTCGGTGTGTGTAGGGCACCCTCCTGCTGAAGGGATGACCCCGAGAGGAATGGCCTCTCTGTCACGGGAAATGCCTTGTGGCGAAGAGAGGTGAGAGCCGACTGCAGAGACGCTGAATGGAGAGGCGGGGGGCCAGCGATGTCTCATCGGTGGCCACGAGAGGTGGTGAACTGCTCTTCTGCTTCCTGCTGTGGTGGTTGTAGTTATTCTAGGTCATCGTTGTTTTGTGAGGCTGTTCTTGTTGACTTATTGTAGAGATGAGGTCTTGCCAAGTTGCCCAGGCTGGTCTCAAACCCGTGGGCTCTGGCACTCTACTTGCCTCGGCCTCCCAAAGTGCTGGAATGGCAGGCTGAGCCACCGAGCCTGGTCACTAAGATGGATCTCTTAAGAGCTTTAACTTTTAGTTTTACTGATTTCCTGTTCCTCATCTTAGGCACTTTGTGTGTGAGCATTCTCGCCGAGGCCCCGCCGGGAGAGAACTCGGGTGGAAATTGATTGTGGAAGGGCCTTGTGCGGTCTTCGCTCTCCTCAAGTAGGACATCCTTCTTCCTCTGCCGCCGTGAGCCTTCATTTAGAACACAGTAAATCACTGGCCTGGAGATTTATGTTACGCACTAAAGTCGCCTGGAAAACAACTTGTCTTTTCACCGAATATTGTTATTCACCGTGTAAATGCGGCCCCTTAAGCAATTCCAAATCCACTGGGTGGCCCTTGGATGACCCCAAGTCCCTCGTGAACTCTAGTAAAGTCTCCCCGGGCTGTGCCGTGTGAAGTCCCCCTTGTGATCTGCTGTGCTGCGTCTCCCGTGGGCTCTGCTGTGCACGGGTTTTCGTGGTCACCAGCTCACTCCCACCTCACCTTCCCGCAAGCAGACCCGGCCAGTTGCTGCGGCGTCCCACTAAGTGTCCCACAAGTGGATGGACTTCGGGTTTTATTTATCTTGTTTGGTTTTTTTTTTTCCTCTTGTACTTAGAAAAGGTTCGGGGAGCCGTACATCCTTCTCAGATCCAGCCTGGCTTGCTCGTGGGTCCGGCACTGTGCAGTGTGATTCTGCAGTCTTTTGATCTCGGGTGCAGGAAAGGGCGGGTGTGTGATGCTGACTGTCTGTTGTCCAGAGGGTGAGCCTGCTGCATTGGTGTCCACTGAAGTGCCCTCGTAATGATCTCTCTTGTCTCTCCCTGGCCGCGACTTTAGTGCAAACATTCTTTTGGACGACCAGTTTCAACCCAGACTCACCGACTTTGCCATGGCTCACTTGCGGCCCCACCTGGACCCTCAGAGCGCCACCATCAGCACGACCAGCAGCAGCGGCAGACACCTGTGGTACATGCCCGAAGAGTACGTGCGGCAGGGGAAGCTCTCCTCCAGAACAGACGTCTACAGCTTTGGCATCGTGAGTACCAGTGCCGGTTAGCAGGAGGGAGCGTTTGTCACCAAGTGTTTCCGTGTCCTAAGAAGGATTTCTTAAGAGCTTTAACTTGTTTTTTCTTTTGAGTTGGAGTCTCACTCCATCGCCCAGTCTGGAGTGCAGTGGCACGCTCACAGCCACCGCAGCCTCGACCTGCTGGGCTCCAACCATCCTTCTGCCTCAGCCTTCCAAGTAGCTGGAACTACAGGCGTGTGCTACCATGCCCCACTAATCGTTGATTTATTGTAGAGACGAGGTCTCACCAAGTTGCCCAGGTGGGTCTCGAACCCGTGGGTTTAGGCAATCTACTCGCCTTGGCCTCCCAAAGTGCTGGGATGACAGGCTGAGCCACCGAACCCAGCCACTAAGGAGGATTTCTTAAGAGCTTTAACCTTTAGTCTTACTGATTTCCTGTTACTCGTCGTATGCATTAATTTCATAAAATCAGGTAATAAAATATAAAGGCATTCATCAGAATGAACTGCATCCATAGTCTCGGTGGATTGTTCCAACAGGTTATGTGTCTGCACTTGACACTTCTCACAGACATTCCCCGTGTCCTTGCAGGTCATCATGGAAGTCCTGACGGGATGCCGAGTGGTGTTAGACAACCCCAAGCATGTCCGGCTGGTAAGGGTCCTCTTCCTCTCGACACCCGCCTCCTGGCCGTCTTTCTGATCCAGGTCTCTGTGATGAGGCTGTCTCTTTCTCCTGCTAGCGTGACCTCCTGGTGGAGCTGATGGAGAAGAGAGGCCTCGACTCGTGCCTCTCACTTCTGGATAAGAAAGTGCCGCCCTGTCCTCGGAATTTCTCCACCAGGCTGTTCTGTCTGGCAGGCCAGTGCGCTGCAACGCGGGCGAAGTTACGGCCATCAATAGAGGAAGTGAGTAGGTGCAGGGTCTCATCACAACGGCCCACAGTTGCATGGAAAACCCACATTAGACAAATGTGTCTAAGCGAATTTTTTATCGATGAAACAAATCCAGCCTCTAGCAGATAATTCCAACCTAATAGATAGCTTTTTCAGGTCAAACAGTCATATCAACCTGGGTGTAGGGGCTCATGCCTATAATCCCCAGCACTTTGGGAGGACGAGGCAGGAGGATGGCTTAAGCCCAGGAGTTTGAGACCAGGGCAACATGGTGAGACCTCGTCTGTACAAAAAAAATTAGCCAGGTGTGGTGCCACACACCTACTGTAGTCTCAGCTACTACCTTCGGTCTTGAGCCCAGCAGGTCGAGGCTGTGGTAAGCTCTGATTGTGCCACTGCACTCCAACCTATGATAGAGTGAGACTCCAACTCAAAAGAAAAACAATCATTCATTTTCCGTCAGTTTAATCACCCACTCATTTATTTGTTTATTCGCATAAACAAACACATTTGACGCCTACTTGGTATGTGCCGACTATATCGGTGCAGTGGCCGAGATGCAGAGCGTGGCCTTAACCCTCAGTTCACACGAGAAGTCAGGGCAGTGAGTGTGGGACTTCCATCCAGCAAGAGACGCGTAACAGGAGCAGTCTGGGAAATTCCATTCCTTCCTGCCCAACCCCCAAGGTGGAGCGGCTACAAAAGTGTTTTTTCCTGGATTTTTGCCTCGTGATCGAACCCGGGCTAATTTGGAGTCGTCCAAAATCACTCAAGACCGTGAGTTCTGGCTTCAGCCCAACAAAACAATCGAAAGCCCCAAGAAGGGACTCGACTCCGAAGGCTTCCACCCTCCTCGGTACAAGGGCTCGGAGCTTCCGTCACCTGAGAACATTCCATGGGATTCCCCTGTGTGGTTCGGCTTGCTTGCAAGGGCTGTAGGAAATGTCTAAGCAGATCTGGAGCCGAGAGCCCATGGAGTTGACCGTAGCCGTGATCTGAAGAATAGGCTGCGTTAGTCAGCAGTGGGGATGGACGGACAGTCTCCCTGCAGAGGCTCCAGGGCGATAGTGGCCAGGGCCCTGAGACCACAGGCCTCTCAGCATCAGGGAAGGGGTGTGGGTGGGAGAAAGGCTGGGCAGGTGAAGTGATAGAAGCTTCCAGGTGGTGGAGGGTCCTGAGTCCCATTTCAGGAGCTTGGATTTCACCCCGAGTCTGTCTTAGAGTCTGGGAAGGGCTTTAAGCAGGGGGTTGGCATTATCAGAGTGTAGAGAGCACTGGACTGGGAGTCGAGAGAGCCGTAGTCGAGGCCTGACACCCCCGTGCCAGGGAGGGAGCGAGGAGACGGTGGCATGTTCGGGTGTGGGGAACCTGAGCTCCAGGTGGGATGTCAGGTCTGCGCCTCACAGCTGATGCTGCCGATGCCCTTTTCTCCATTTATTATCTATGGAATGAGGATGATCAATATTTGTGCAGGTTAAACGCTATGGTTTATATGAAGGCACTTTGCGGATTGTGAGATCCATGCATTTTTTTCAGAGGATGTGCGCGTGGGTGCACGTATGTGTGTGTGCGTGAAGGCATGCTGCGTGTCATATTACTTCAGTTGAGGGTTCGCAAATCCGGCTGCTCGTCCAGGCCATCTGGAAGCTTCTAAAATGCAGGTTCCCTGATTTTTTGAACAACAGCCTACAGGTTGGAGGTCACGTGATCAGGGTTTTACAAAAGCTCTCCTGGGTCATTCGGGCATTTAAGAACTGCAGATAGGCCACCGGGCTCGGTGGCTCAGCCAGTCATCCCAGCACTTTGGGAGGCTGAGGCGAGTGGATTGCCTGAGCCCAAGGGTTCAAGACCAGCCCGGGCAACTTGGCAAGACCTCATCTCTATAATAAATCAATAATTAGCCAGGCACAGTAGCGTGCACTGCTTCTTGGAAGGCTGAGGCAGAAGGATAGCCAGCGCCTGGCAGGTCAACATTGGGGTGGCGGTGTGTGTGCCACGGCGCTCCAGCCTAGGCAATGGAGTGAGACTCCGACTAAAAGGAAAAAAAAAAGAAAAAGAACTGCAGATCAGGTCCACCAAACCCCGCTTCCTTCCAATTCTCCACGTGTCATGGCCAAAGTAAAAAGTGGAAGGATTGGCCATCACAGAACATTGCCGGGGGGAAGGGGAGAGGGAACGAAGGGAGGAGGGTGGAGGCATGGGACAGCACAAAGGGCACCTGGTTCACTGCCAAGGGAGTGAGGGCCCCAACCTCACCTGCACGCAACCTGCCTGGGCGGTGAATCTTCACTTGGACCCCACATCTCTATACTAAGATGAAAACGAAATGTAAAGAGACTCACCCGTTGCTGTACTGACCTCCGACGTACTCCGGGGTCTTTAGGGAGTTTCTCCCCTTAACCATTTCTGCTTTTTTGGAATTTTCGCACTGGCATGATTCTCCCTTCCTTCTGCCCCTGCCAGATCCCGATGAAAGTTACGAGCTTTCCTGAGTGGACTCCTGGCCCCTTCCCTCACCCCCATCCTCACCTCCTGTCTGTCTGATGCCATTTGGCTCCTTTTTTGGCAAGAATAGTCACTGGCTTGTAAAGTTTTTTAGCTCAATAAAGTCAGTGGCCTTCCAAAAAAGAGAGAGAGACTCACTGAGGATACAGAGAGGCTGGCACGAACCGGAGGCTACAGTGGGTCTCCTGGAGTTTGAGCCACACAGTCTTGTTTATGCCTTGCTTCAAGTCTCTAATTTACTCCTCAACTTGAGGGGGTTTTGCTAATTTTTAAGGTGCCTTCTGCACCAGAACTCTGCAGTTGAGTTTGCTTTGTGAAAATGAGAGAATGTGGGCAAACCTATTGGGTCCCCTCCTGCTCTGGGAGCTTTTCTATTCTCTCAATAAATCCTGCTTTCTCAAAAAACAGAAAAGAAAAGAAAATGAGAGAATGTTCTTTAACAGGTAAAGAGGGGTAAGGGCACGGGGGTCCTGCAGGCTGAGCCCATGCCGTTTGCTTCCTGCCGCCCAGGTGCTGAGTACTCTCGAGCGCAGCCAAGCCAGCCTGTACTTTGCCGAAGACCCCCCCGCATCCCTGAAGTCCTTCAGGTGTCCGTCCCCTCTGTTCCTGGACAGTGTCCCCAGCATCCCAGTGGAGGACGACGAGCGCCAGGACCGTCACTCGCTGCCCGCCGGCGAAGGCTCAAGGAAAGACAGCAAGACGCCGAGGGTCCCTTTTGAGTGCAGCCAGTCAGAGGTGACATTTCTGGGCTCGAACAGAAAGACGGGGGGCCAGGGAGACGCGGACGCTGGCGACACGCCTGGTTCTTCTGGCGAGGAAAGTTGGTCCCCAAAGTGTGTGGTTCTACCCCGGGACTCGCGGGCCTGTGTGCTGCGTGTGGCCCCTTCCCCAGAAGCCCCGGGCCATGCCGGCGGGAGCCAGCCAGTGACCAACTGCTCCTCCGGGTTTCCCTGGAGTGAGTAAGAACCGTGCGAAAAGCAGTGAATTCCACCGGCAGATGAAGGATCAGCGAGCACCGCCGGGAGCACCGGCCTCAGAGGACGTTGACTGCATGAGTGACCTCGATGGCACGGTGGGAAACGCAGACGGGGCTTCTGGATGCCTCCGGGCCTCCCGCCCAGCCCCCAGTGCAGGGGCGTCCACGAGATGCAACCAGGCCACACTGCTCGAGGCCGGGAATTCGGGCTTCAGCCGAACAAAACCATCACAACCTGCCAGAAGGGAATGGACTGTGCTGTCTCCGTGTGAGGCCTTAAAGCCTCTGACTCCGGAGAACTTTCTGCTAGATTCCGTGTCTGGCTTAGCTGGCTTGCAAGGGCTGTAGGCAGCGTCTGATGTGTAAATGTGGATGGACATTTTGTTAAGGAATTGCCTTCTTATCTCAACGGGCCCTTGGCGTTTCTGTTTGTTGCTGTCTGGCCCGCCTGTCTGAAAACCAGTCAGCTGCCCCTTGGCTGCAGCCTGTCTGTGCAGAGCGGAGTTTCCCTCCCGAGATCTGCATTTCTGTGTTTGAACTCGTGGGATGGTTGATCACATGTACTACAAATGATGTCGTTGTTGGCTGTTATTACCGGTTTAAAAAAATAAACGTCCAGACTCTTTGTATCCTGGGTCGAATAGAAAACTTCAGCCACGTCATCTTCGTCCCTGGGAAAATGGCAGGTCACGAGGGCCTGGGGCGGCTTTCTGTTCGGTTCTAGACCTTTGGGTGTCGGGTGCCCATTCCTGCGGTGTCCTGACCTCCCCTGCTGAAATCCTACCTGGTCCTCAGGGCCTCCAGCAAGCCTCCCTGAGCTCCCCAGCTGGAGGCACTCCTCCCTCGGCGTCTCCACGACAACTCTTTGCATCTCTCTTCCGTGCTTGTCATTGTCACTCTGTGCATCACATCAAAGCAGCTCGACTCATCTCTCGGGCCAGATTGAAGACTCCCTACAGTAGCTCTCTATTGTTGCTGTAACAAATATCAGAGATTGAGTGACTTGAAGCAACATAAATCAGTCGTTTCACAGGTCTGGAGGCCGCAAATCCTCGGCATCCCTTCTGAAGGCTGTAGGGGAGGATTTGTTGCCGGGTCTTTTCTGGCTCCAAGAGGCCACCTGCCTTCCTCGGCTCCTGGCCTCCTGCTCCACCTTCAAAGCCAGCAATGCAGCCTCTTCAAGTCCTGATCTGTCTCTCTTTCTCTCTCTCTCTGGCTCTGGCTCTCTCTCTCTCCCTGTCTCTGTCTCTATGTATCTCTCTCTCTGACTCTCTCAGAGAATCCAGGAGCATCTTCATGTCTCAGGATTCTTCATTTTAGCCAGGCATTAGTGGCTCACCCCTGTAATCCCAGTACTTTGGGAGGTGAAGGTGGGAGGATTGCTTGAGCCCAGGAGTTGGATACCAACCTGGGCAACATGGCAAGACCCCGTTTCCAGATAAAATTAAAATATCAGCTGAGCATAGTGACTCACACCTTTAGTCGAGTGCTTTGGTAGGCTGAGGCGGGAAGATTGCTTGAGCCCAGAAATTTGAGACCCTTCTGGGCAACATACTGAGACCTCGTCTCTACAGAAAAAGTTAAAAATTAGCCAGATGTGGTGGCACACACCCGTGGTCCCCTACTCGGGAGGCTGAGGCAGAAGGATCGCCTGAATCCAGGAGGTCGAGGGTGTGGTGAGCTGTGCCAGTGCACTCCAGCCAGGGTGACAGAGTAAGACCTCGACTCAAAAACAAAAAACAAAAACATGGTTTGCTGGGCCTACCCAACTTCTGAGACAGCAGGTCTGGGGGTAATTTGGTTTCTAGCAGGTTCCCAGGGGATCCCCCACTGCCATGAATCCCATCACCCTCGGTGTCTTTGGTCTGGAGCCCGCCTGTCTGTCTAGGTTGTGGGTCTCCTGAGACAACAATTACTTGCTTTAATTATTTTCCATCACCCCATGACCTAGGGTGTTGGCCAGTACAGAGCAGGCGCGTGGGAGATTGTTGCCCAGCGACCTTATTGACCAGTTCATCTGCCAAGGGTGTGGCTGTTCTGGGCACCTTAGAGTGGGCAGCCACGTGATGAATGAGCGTAGGGGGAAGCAGATGCCACTGTGGCTGCAAAGTACGGAAACCTCCTGCTGGGGGACTGGCCCTCCAAGCCATCTCTGCCTTGTAGTGGGTGTGCTTGTAATGGCAATGGCTGGAGTTAGACCCATGTCCTACTGTGGGGGAGGAGAGGGCATTTCCGTGGTTTCACCACAAGGAGACAGACGCGTGGGGACCGAGATGAGCCCCGGGAGACCCTCTGAGCCGGCCTGCAGTTGAGTAAAGACTCGTCCTTTTCATCCTGGAATGCACCCCCGGCAGCCCCCGGGGAAGAACCTGCTGACTGCTCCTAGGGCCTGGGTTCCTCTGTCTGAAGCCCTCAACCTGGAGATCATGTAGGTGGTTTTTGAAGAGAGACATGGGATTTCTGACAAAACCTGTTTGCTGACTCCCTGAGAATCGGTGAGCACCTGTGACCCCCTGCGTGACAGTGTTGTTTTCCTTGCAGGGACGTGTTCATGGCCTGAAGTCTGAGTGCACGGATGAGGCTTCTCCCAGGAGCATGCATAGAACCTGAGTGCAGGGCAGAGGCTTCTCATTAGGGGCACTCATAGGACCTGAGGTGGCAGTGCAGGGGTGAGACTTCTCTCGAGGGGCTGTCGTAGAACCTGAGGTGGGAGTGCAGGGGTGAGGTCATCATGAAGCCCCTTCTGCAACCAAGGACCTGGGTGAGCTACCAAGCACCCCCCACTAAGGAGGAGGACATCCACCCCCGGTGACAGTTGGGTTACGTCCTGAGCTGCACACCGAGGAAACTGACCACATGTGCCAGGAGGGTTGGAGAAGGAGACTCTGTGCTTTCCAGAGGGAAAGTGTCTTCTTGGAGAAGCTTCCTGGAAAGAGAAAGGATGATGGAACACAGAAAAAGGCACCAGCCAGCCCGGGTGGGGTGGCTCACACCTGTCGTCCCAGCACTTGGGGAGGCTGTGGTGGAAGGATCACTTGAGGCCAGGATTCGAGAAAAAGGCACCAACGTGGCACCCCATGGTGGCTGCTCGAGGAACTGGGGCCTCTGCTCCCCCAGAGCCCGGGCCTACCTGTCTCTGGGGCCAGGGGGCATGGTGTGAGGGTGGAGGGCTGAGCCTGGAGCTTTGTGCATTTGTTTCCTGGTTAACCCTCAGGGTCACCCTGAAGGTGTGGGTCCCACCTTCCAGATGAGGACATGGGAAGAGGGGGGATAGAGGCTGGTAACTCACCGAGGCCCTCCCAGACTGGGCAGAGCCGGGACTCAAACCCACGTGTGTCCCTTTAAAGCCCATGCTGTTTCCTGTGCTCCAGGTGGCACAAAGGAGCCACTGCAGGCTCCAGCTTCCGTGAAAAAAGGTGGATGAAGAGTCACCTGAGGGTTCCACAGAGCCGAGTAGGCACACACACTCGCCCCGTCCCTACCTGTCCCCCTCCCCTGTGCCTCTCTGCAGACACCCACCTCTGCGGGTGTTCATGTGAGTTCATCCATCCATCCGCCCACTCACTGAGTAACTATCGATGGCCTCTTTGAGTCAGGCTCTGTTTTAAGGGCTAGGGACACAGCATCAAAACCAACACGGAACCAGGCAACACAGTGAGCCCACGTCCCTACAAAAATGAGAAAGTGAGCCAGGCGTGGTGGTGCATGCCTGTGGTCCCAGCTACTCAGGAGGCTGAGGTGGGAGGATCTTCTGAGCCCAGGAGGTCGTAGTGAACTGTGATTGTGCCACTGCACTCCAGCCTGGGTGACAGAGTGAGAAACACACACACACACACACACACACACACACACACAGCCAACCCAGGCCCACCCTCGAAGAGCTTGCATCAGTGACTGGGTCTTGGGGTGCTCCCCCATCACAGGCCCTGCTTCTCTGCCAGCCCTTCTTGGTGGGTTCAGAGGTTTCCTCCTGTCCTGCTGTGTAGCGGTGACCACAGGGTGGCCCGTCACGGCACTGTGGGTGTGCACTGAGCAGTCTGGGGCATGCTTTGTGCTGATCCCGACGGGATCTGTTCTTGCACTGAAGGACGGTTTCGCGGGGTGGCAAGAACTGGCGCACACCTCAAGAGTGACCCCAAGTTCCTGGGTGAGTGTGCCAGGATCCGGTATGGAGCCAGCCTGGAGGCTCATGTCATACCTGTGAAGAACAGCTGAGCCCGGCCCGGGGCTGGGACACTGGACGTGCAAGGGACCCAGGCCCAGTGTTTCAAGTTAGGTGGAGGCTGCTGGGTGGCAAAGGTTGCTGTATGAAAGTTACGACATAGCTGGGCTCAGGGGCTCAGCCTGTCATCCCGCGCCCTGGGAGGCTGAGGTGAGCAGATTGCCTGAGCCCGCGGGTTCCAGACCTGCCTGGGCAACTTGGAGAGACCTCATCTCTACAATAAATCAAAAAAACTTAGCCGGGCGTGGTAGCGCGTGCCTGTAGTGCCAGCTGCTTGGAAGGCTGAGGCGGAAGGATCTCCAGAGCCCACTAGGTCGACCTACTGGGCTCCAGCGATCCTTCCAAGTAGCTGGAACTATACACCTGCATCACCATGCCTGGCTAAGTTTTCTTGATTTATTATAGAGACAGGGTCTCACTAAGTTGCCTAGGATCATCTCGAATTCCTGGGCTCAGGCTGTCCTCTCTCCTCAGCCTCCCAAAGTGCTGGGATTACAGGCTGAGCCACCACGGCTGGCTCTTTTTTTTTTTTTTTTTTTTTTTTTGGGG